TGGTGTGTGTGTGTGTGTTGTGTTTTGGTATGTTTTTCTGCATATGAAATCCAAGATAGGTAAATCTATAGACAGTACCTGAATTAATGGTTTGGGGAGAGGGGGGTACTGCAAGGGAAGGTGGGAGGAAATGGGGAGTAAATAACAATGAGTACAAGAAAAAACAAAATGTTCTAAAATTGACTGTGGTGATAATTATACAACTTTTTTTAGTACGGCTGAACCACTGAATTGTATATGTGATATGTCAATAAAACTTTTTTTAAAAGGCTACCAATATTGAATGACACAAGCAGCATCCAAAAAACCTGGTACAGAGTCACTGTACCAAAAAGAAGGAACTGACACCCCACCACTTCAGGAGCAGCACATGATCAAGAACTGACAGTACTGAAGGAAGAAGCCCAAGCTGCACTGAAAGCATTAGTAGAAAACAAGGCTCTGGGAACTGATGGGATATTAACTAAAACGTCCCAACAAGCTGATGGGAGCACTGGAAGCTCCCTCGTCTATGCCAAGAAATCTGGAAGACAGCTGCCTGGAAGAGATCCGTGTGTGTGCCCCTTCCAAACAAAGGTGACCCAACAAAATATGCGAATGATAGAACCGCATGACTAAATACCCTATGCACATATCAAAGTCTTCACCAAACAGGTAACACTGTGATAAATGGAAAAAAGATCGAAGTTGTCAAGGATCTCATCTCGCTTGGATCCACAACCCATGCTCACGGAAGTAACAATCAAGAGCTCCAACAACACACCAATCTGCTGCAGGCGGCCGCTTTGAAGTGCTGACAGCATGGCAGTTCATATTGCTTCTTATGCACGTAAGTGTTGGGCAAAGAATAAGGGAGACCGAAGAAGAGTCGGTCCATTTGAATTACGGTGCTGGTGAAGAATACTGGAAGTATATTTTTTTAAAAATTGAAAGACTGCCAAAAGAACGGATTCATCCAGGAAGAAGTACAGCCAGAATCTCCTTGGAAACAAGGCTGGCGAGAGAGCGTCTCACAGGAAAGACGGGTCTCTGGAAAAGGACATCATGCTCAGGCAAGCGGAGGGACAGCCCAGAAGAGGACGACCCTCCACAGACGGGTGAGCCAGGAGTGCAGCAATGGACTCAAGCAGGAAGACAGTCCCGAGGAGGGCGCAGGAGCGGGCATCGTCCTCTTGTACACGGGTTGTTGTGAGTCAGCGCCAACCTGATGGCACGTAACCACTGCAAGCCTTCTCCGTGCCCATTCCAACCACCAATAATTCCCCTTGCCTCCTGGCTGCGTGTTTGATCAATATTAGGCTGCAGAAGCTGGGGGAAATCTCTAATTTGCTCATCTTTGGCATAGGTGGTTGGTGTGTAAATTTGAGTAGTAGTCATATTAACTAATCTTCCTCGCAGGCCTCTGGGTATCATCTTACCGCTGGCAGTATGATATTTCAGGATTTATCTTGAAATGTTCTTCTTCACCATGAATCGAATGCTGTTCCTCTTAAGTCTGTCGTTACTGGCACAAAGGGGTATTACCCAGAAATTACAACCAAAAAACTCTTAAAACTTAGTCAGATAACAGCACAGTTTAAAAAAAACATTTGAGCAGAGGTGTCTCCTAAAAGAGAGACAAATGGCAAATCCACACATGAAAAGATGTACGACATCATGTATCACTAGAGAAACGCACATTAAAGCTCTAATGACAAACCGCTGCACATCTATTACCCGACTGCCATGGGCTCGATGCCAACTCATTGCAAGTCTGCACAGGATTTCCAGGGCTGCAAATCTCCATGGGAGCAGATTGCCTCATCTTTCCCCGCAGCGGCTGGCAGGTTTGAACCACTGACCTGGCAGTTAGCAGCCCAACACTTACCAGACGGTGCCTCGAGGGCTCCTTAGCCAGCCATTAAGATGGATAGCATTTCCAAAACACCAAAATCAAACCTGAGTGTGGGTGTGCAAGGGAAGCTCTCACCACTAATGTGGAAATATAACATAATGCAATCTCTTGGGGAAACAAGTTGAATATTTCTTTAAAAGTTAAACATCTGCCCACTTTATGACTCAGCCATTCTACTCCTACTTCATATAGGATGTCCTTAATGTCAACCCACAGCTCACCTGGTCCACCAAGAACCCCAACCTGGAAACAGCCCAAATACCTGTGACGTATCCACATAATGGCTCTCGGCCTGCCCTCAAGTTGATGCTGACTCACAGCAACCCTGTAGGGCAGCGCAGAACTGCTGCGGTGGGTTTCCAAGACGGTCAACCTTTCTGAGAGTAGAAAGCCTCACCTTTCTCGTGCAGAGCTGCTGGTGGCTTCAAACTGCTGACCTTGCAGTTAGCAGCCCAACATGTAACCCATCGACGCACAAACCATACGTTAACTGCAGGATTGTGAATGATGCCTAGCTTGAGTTTGTTTCAGCAAATACAGTAAATGGGGGGAGAGCTGTGGTGCTTTAAAGAGAGCTTACCATCTGCTGTTTCCAGGATGCTCCTGCTGCACCCTCGAGGCACACCTCTCACGGAGGCCACCTGGGGCCGTTCACAGTGCGGATGCTCCCCAAGGCCGGTGGTGACATCAGGAGGGGCAGGGTGCAGGTCTGCGTTTAGAAAATATACCCAAAATAAAAGTGGCAATTAATTCAAAGAGGATTTAAAGCCCCTGTTCAAACTCCACTACCTGTAAGCTTCATTGAGTGGTGCAGGGTGGGTGATATTCTGATTAATTTGTTTTTCTGGCAGGATGAAGGTACACCAGAACCCTGTGAACCGCCAGCCACACTATGCAGCAATGTGTCTGTGGGATGCTCTAGATCACATCACCTACAGGGCACACATAACATGCTATGCTGGCCCCACCGCAGTCGAAGAGGTTCACTTGAAATACTTTCCTCAGTGAAGTAGAAGAAAGTGTGACATTTTCATTGCATTCTGATCATTGAAAGACTTCTGAAACCACTCCCCTTCCCCAAGAAAAACATGTCAATTGTTAGGAAGAATAAAACTACACAAAAATACAGATTACTCCCACCACCATGTTAAAACACATCTGCAAGACACGACAATAGAGTCCTTAAGGTAGAATAGTAAATGTCACCTTCAAAAAGAGACTACATTAGATAGAGAAAACATGTAAACTTCATTCCTTCCATTGTCTTCTGCATGGACGTTTTGTATTTCATTTCCATGGTCAAGAAATATTCATCTGTTCAGAATGCCAGTTGACAGTAAGTCACTATAGGACTTGGTATTATGATTGGTTCTACCGTCAGCAAAGGTACTTTGTGCAACTACTAAAACCTGCCCTCTGTCCCACAATGATAGACACTTGTCCTTTGTGAAGAAGCTCTGGTGGAACTTCCGGGTAAGCACTGACTGCTAGCTATTACAACCCACCAGCTGATCCGTAGAAGAGAGCTGAGGCTGTCTATTCTCTCAAGATTGACAGCCACAGATCCTTCTGAAACAGAGTGATGAGGCGGAATCAGTGATGGCAGGGGTCTACCTGTGAGCTCAGCATCACCCTGCACTGGGTGAAGATCCAGCAATCTACCTGATCTTTCCCTGAATGGATTTTCCCTAAGCTTCATCTATGTTACATCAACAATTTTAATTTTTAAGTTCTAAACTTTAAAAATGGTTCATTCTTTCACATGCAAAGTAAGAATTTTTAGGTAGGTGAAACTAAAATTACAGGAAGACAGAAGACAAGATCACTGTTTAAATAGCAGAATACACTCTGTTGGAAAATCCAAAGCTTAATTACATAGACGGTAATTCCAGTTTCAAAAACAAAAACAACCTTCCCACCCTTTCAAACACAGCAACCGGAGTAAATGACTGTAAAAGCAAACATGTAACTTACAGAATACAAAGTAGTTTTTAAATAGCCACATAAAAATAAACTATTCTAAGTAAAAAAAAAAATACTGCATTGAAAGTATTTCTGAAAATATGAGTATTATGTCAAATGATTTGACAAATTTGGTTTCCTTAGGCGAAAACTGAAATTATTTTTTAATTGTTTTCACCGAGTGTGTTCTGTACTTCAAGCTTGCTTTACCTAATATAGTCTCCCTCTTCCCTGAGCTCAGACTGAGTAGTTCTCTAGTGTTGGACACAAACCTAAAGAATGGTGCTTGTTATAGAGACAGGGAAGGGGGGTGAGTAGATATTTAGAAGCTAACGTCAACTATGTCCAGCAAGCACCTAGGGCATGAAGCCGGCAGTCTGCAGTAAGGGACCAGCAGAGGCAGTATTGTGATCCTTGGAACTTCTTAGAATGATTCACAAGATACACACAGTAGACCGAGCACATGAGACGGGAAAGACAGGACAGAGCAGTTGTCCATGCAGTTACTAGCCTACACTGTGAATCTTTACAGCCAAGTCCTTCCAGGGAGTGGAAAGCCTTGCATTTCCCACACAGAAAGCAAAGTGGAGGGCTACTGGGAACATTTTGCACCAATGCATGGGGCCAGCTCCCCACGTGGGGCATCTCTTATTTCTAGCCTGCCAGAACTCAGGGTGGCAGCCCCTCAACATCTCATTAGAAGGTGGTGAGCAGACACTGGCAGACGATAAAGACTCTGGTGCACTTTCACATGCTGTCTCACCTAGAAAAGAGCTTCCGGAATGTTCAAGCCCACCATTGCGCTCACACTGGAGTTAAGTGTGTGTTTCTGTCAAATTAAATGCCCGTAACACAAGAGAGGGAAAGTATCAGGGTAGGACTGTTCCAGGCTGTCAGCTGTCTACCTGCTCAAGGAAAGGGGACAGTGGTGATAGCCCCACAGGAAAACCACAGAAAAAAGCCAGGTTGGGTTCTTTTCATTGGGGCCCCCTTTCAAGGAGAATTCTGCCCAGAACCACCCTGCAGCCCAACCCACCCACGAGTCTTCCCTTGCCTTCCCCTGGGCTTGATGGGACACCTCTGTGTTCTGGGCACACAGGCAGGAGGAATAGGCAGCTCCTGCTAATCTAAAAGTCTTAGGGTGGTAGAAGAAACTCATGCAGAGGTAACACGCAGATGGGTCCAGATCCACATGAATACAGAAACTGGGGGATGGGCACACAGGACAGTAAGTGGGGTGTTCTTGGAGTATGCTTGGCCACTTGGCAACACTGAGATTGTTCCTGATCCAACCAACCTGGTAGAGGCAGGACTCAGCAATACAGCCTTGGCCTGCACTGCCCGCCATCTCTGCCTGCTGGGCACCCACCCCAAGCACAGCCCACTGGGGTGCAAGGTGCCAGGCTGCTGCTTTGACACATGCAAGGTAAATGCAAAGAAATGAATGCAACCTAGCAAGTTGGGCATCAGCCCTGCTGCACTGCTAAGCAGGTCCAGCAAGGATCGCCTACTAGCACACGGACTTCCCATCCCAGGTACTAGTGCAAGATGTTACTGGCTTCTCAGAGCCGCTGCCAAAGCTAGCTAGCTGCACTATCGTGGTGGCTTGAAAATAGGATCTCTAATGAACAATAATAGTTTTGCTATTTTTTCAAGGATTAAAATGTCATTCAAAAGGGAGGGGGATCATTTAGAGAAGATCTATGCATCTTTATATGGCTCTGCTTTGACATCTGGGAAAAGAGCCTAGTCTTATGGTGGGGATTTACATATTTGCATATTTTCATTCCCATAGGAAAGCTGCCAACTACCCAAATGCCCAAGTCTCTGCACAAAGGCACTGCCGCCCGCTGCAGCCAGTGCAGAAAGAACAGCCACATGACGGCATCTCTGCTGCCCACATTTTAACTCTACCTCTGGTGGAGAGGAGGCGGGAGGAGACCGGGTGGACTAAGACCTAGATGCCTTGACAGGGGCCGAGGAGTTTGATTCTCGGCAGGCCTCACATGTATTTGGGTCTCCCGCCAATTTGCTAACACAGTGACAGCCAAGACCCAATGAAGCCCCCTCTGGGCCAGCTGCATGGCCCATCAGCTCAGTGCTGTCGTTTGTATCGGCTCTAAGCAGGCCGGAGGAAAATAGGTTTACGTGTTCAGAAACATTTTATTCTTTTTAGGATTTCCTTCCAATTCTCATGCTCAGCCTAAGAGCTATTTTACCTGGTGCCCGCAAGAGTAAAGACCTGGCATGCTTCAGTCCAGCCCACTATCGCAGGCACCTGCCAGATGCAAGGATAATGGCCACTCCACAGCAAGGTGCCAGAGACGGTGGTGACAGCCAATCCAGGGGACATGGCAGTCTACCCTGCCATTGACTGTCCGGCAGACCTGCTGCCCATGCTGCTTCCCCCGAGGGCAGGAGGGGCTCTGCCAGCACTGCGGACCTCATGCCCTTCAGTGGCCACTGGGGCTTGAGGGACTGCCAGTGGTGACCAGGACAAAGAGAGAGGGCGGGACTTGTTGGAGAAGTTTGGTCAGGCCAAATTACTAGAAGGATTATGAAAGATTTTATCTGAATGGCAAACTGACCCAGTAGCAACCCCATTTCTTTAAGTGTGATTACTATCTGCTCTGCTCGCCCTCTGGGCAGAGGGGCACCTTCCTTCTGCACACACCTGCACCAGCTCTAGGGGGGGTCCCCGGGGCGCTCTGTACTGACCTATGTGGGCGTGGGTCGCGAGGCCGGTGAGGGCGGCGGGTCTCCCTCCCGGGTGAGATGAGGTGGAGGATGCGGAGGACGAGGTGGACGAGCCCTGAATGACCCGGTCGAGCCAGGGCTCGACGCTGGGATGGCTCTGGAGCGGAGTGGAGGTGAGTCTCCCGGGTCGCCGCAAAGAGCCCTCGTCTTCTGAGGCGGACGAGGTGTCTGTGGTCAAAATAATGATGACAGGCATGTGATGCAGGAGGGAGTCACAGGGATGGGGCACCCGCTCGCACCCGCAATCTTCCACGCTCTGCATGAAGCATGCTGTGTGCGCAAGGCACCGCCTGGGCCGACGCCAGCCCCTAGCACGGAGGGGGCCTGTTTCTGGGTGCGCTCTGGAACCCAAAGAGTACTATTCGGGGGAAATGGTTTCAGAGTCCCTCGAGGTTTGCAGCCGTGACTTTGTCAGGGGACACAGCATACACAGCACACACAGCCCTCATCTGAGCACTCAGGTCCACATGTCACATGTACCATGTGGAGGTCCCGAGTCCTGATGGATAACTGCCGAGTCACAACTGCATGGCCACATGCTCCTCGTCCAGTTTCTGAATGTCCTAGAGCGCTGGGACCACCTTCAGGCGGAACATGCAAAAGCTCTGTGGACTCCCCCCACCTGTGACGACACGTCCAATCACACAGGCCGCCTCTGTGCACAGCCTGGTAGGGTAGCCACCTCTGGCAAAAGCAGCCATGCTGACAGCAAGCAGCACACATCCCCCGCATCTCCTGGAGGAGTCTCACTCATGGTCCTGCACCTCCTGAGCAAGGTATGCACCCTCCCTCGTCATTCCTGTTCGACAGGTGAGCCCCCAGCACCCTCTGTGGGCCACCAGAGACGGCAATGAGCGCCACCTCACAGGTGCCACCCTGTCTGCACACTCTCTGGGGTGAGGGTGGGGGGGCAGGGGAAGCATGTAAATGAGCTTAAACGAAGAATTCCTTCCCCAAGAAAATTGTTTCAAGCCTTAAAATGAACAGACGAGTTAGAAACTTATTCTGGTTTGACAATTATGATTGGGTAGTATCCAGGGCTAGAATTAACAGAAAACAGTACCGTATATCCTCGAGTATTAGCCGACCCGAGTACCAGCCAAAGCACCTAATTTTACCACAAAAACTGCATTAAAAATGTGCAGAAACACTTGGCTTATACACGAGTATATATGGTAATTTGGCAAACTTTTCTAATATTTTTTCCCACAATGTAAATTATGGGTCGTTGCCCCCCTCCCACCACCGCCCAGTAAGGAAGTATGCCTACATTATCTTAAGAATCTATTGTGTTTCACTTTTATAGCTAATTAACTCTAAAAGAATCACATTGAAAATGACTGGCAGCTTTGTTTTGTCAGTAATATGATGGGCAATAGCAACCCATGGACAGAGAGCCATTAAAGGGGCAACTTCATGGCCGAGTGTAATAGGAGGCTTAAAATACATCGCTGCAGAAGAGAAATCCCACTTACAGGTTTGCATTTGTAGCGGTAACAGCAAAACAATAACTATATCTGTCAAAACTTTCCAAATGCCCCCCCCACCAAAAAATAAATATATATTATCTCATTTGATTTTTATTTATTTATTTTCACTTAAACTGTGTATTCTTTTAATTAGGATTTAACACATATATCATTCCATAGTTCAATCACATCAAAAGTTACTGAGATGAGATTCATTTTAATAGTCATAGGAAACATTGGCATTCTACTCAGTGATATTATAAGGTACTTTCTTTACTACAAGCTTTAAATAGTTCTTTAGGGGGGAAAAATTAACATTGCCATCAAAAATCCAATTGGGTATCCAATTGGGTAAGAACAATATCATAAAATACCGCCAAGGTTTCCGGTCAGGAATCATTAATCAGTTTTTATCCCCCATGTGCGCCCATCTATAGATCCTGTAGGAAGGCTATTCCAGCATCACCAGGGCACCGAGAAGCACCTGGCTGTACGTACCTGGGGGCGTGTATGCGTCCACGGACGAGTGCACGAGCGCGGAGCGCCGTTTCGAGGGCATGGGCATCTTCCTCTCCTTGTACTTGGCCAGCGCTGCCTGCACGGCTTCCGTGTGGACATCTGCACGGAAAGGGCGGCAGAGAAAAGACCACTTAAGGGGCTGGTTACCGAGCAACAACGTGGAGATGCACTGCGTGCTACCCTCTAGGAAACAACGCGAAAGGCGCTCAGGCTCCGCCCACACCACACCTTGGCCTATTCCCACGGCCCTCTTCCCGCCCTCCGGCTGAAGATGTCACACAGCACCCGCTCCCACTCAACCCCCACCCCACGCCCCACTCCAGGGTCACAACCGTGCACTCAGAGGAGACACCCCCAAATGTCAGGCAGAGGAAAAGCTAAGTGTAGTTAGGAAGGAGCGGGGCACCCATCGCCACGTCCCCCTCTGAGGAAAGGGCTTTAGCACCAAACTCAAGGCCCTGTAGAAAGGAGCCGTCTCAAAAGAAGGAAAAAGGGAAGAGATGAGTGGGCCGACTGAGCCTCCCAGCACACGGAGTTAGATCTAGGGGGACAGCAAGGAAGAGCCATGGACCGTCGCTGTAGCGTTCTGGAAACAGAACCACTGCTTACAAGGGGCACCGTGAAACCTGTGACGCCATCCTCATCCTCACTCCTACGGGACGGAGGACAAGGAAGAGCCGCGTCCTGCAGGCCCTCCTTGGGGAGCAGCAGAGAGGGTGACGCATCCCAAAGTCTCAGCTTTCCAGGGAAGCAGGGGGCAGGAATGCCTTTAAGGGGGTCTCATTTCCATGCTGTGGTGGAACTATGTGTGTTTTATTATGAGTTATGAGAAAAGGAAGGTGCTTATGAGCAGAATGAAATGTTTACAAAACTTCTAAATTAACAAGGGCGAAAAAATCATGTCAGGAAAAGAATTATGAATAAACAGGAAAGAAACATTAGATGGACTAAAATAAAATATACCAGTTGATGAACTAAATGTAGACAAGGCAAATTCATTTATTCAAAGTGGGCTGGGATCAGTGAGGCCCACATTTCTGGGAAAAGTACATATAGATCCTTTCTTGATGGCAAAATGTAAATCAGTCCCTATATATATAGGGTTACAGTAAAGTAAAAAAGAAGGGGGGGAGGTGTGGGGGACCAGAGAAAGAATCAGATTTTTAACAGATGAGCAGATGCAGACCAATACTACATGGAAATAGTGAAATCATTACACACAGAATATCAAGTATGTTCAACACACTTATATAAAAAGTAAATTTAAAAAATAATAAAGGAATAAGTAACCAAAAAGGGAGAAGACAGAATCAATCAACTGTCAGGGGAAAATGAGTAAATAAAATATAACTATTGTTATTGAATTCATTCACCCTTATAGCAACCCTATAAAGGTTTCCAAGAGAGAAAAATGAGGCTTCATGCTCCTAAGAGAGATTTATAGCATCATAAACCCACAGGAACGTTTTATTCTGTCCTATAGAGTCATTATGAGTCAGAATCAGCTTGATGGCAGTGCACTTGGGGGAATATAGGTTTCTAAGCCTATAAATCTATGTGAGTAGACAGCCTCCATCTTTCATCTACAGAACAGCAAGTGGGTTTGAACTGCTGACCTTGAGATTAGAAGCCCAACACCAAACTCACACACAAAAAAATACAATATTTGAAATTAGTGATTAATTTAAAATAAATAGCAAGAAATATTCAGAATTACTGAAAAAGTAAAACCACTAAAGAATGCACCAGGAAACTAGATAGATGATAGATAGATAGATGATAAGATAAACAGATAGATAGATAGATAGATAGATAGATAGATAGATAGATAGATAGATAGATAGATAACATGCATGGAATGGGCATCTAAATATAAAGAAATCATAATACAGTGTGGAAGAGGCAATATTCAAAATGACATAGGCATACTTCAATGTATTATAGTTTGCTCCATTGTGTCTTAAAGATACCGTGTTTTTAAAAAATTGAACGCTTGTGGCATTGAACAAGTCTACCGATACCATCACAATATTTCAAACATTCTTACAATGCTATTGCACACTTTCACTGTCATTGAGTCGATGCTCACTCACAGTGACCCTACAAGACAGGGTAGAACTGCCCCTGTGAGTGTCTGAGACTGCAACTCTTTATGGGATTAGAAAGGCCTGCCATGCTGCCACACAGCAGCTGGTGGTTTCAAATGGCTGAACTTGGGGGTCGCAGCCCCCTGCATAACCAATACACCACGAGGGCTCCTTCACAAACTATAGTACAGTGCAAATATAACTTTGATATGCACTGGGGGGAAATTCATGTGACTCGCCTTACTGTGGTGATCTGGAACTGAACCCACAATATCTCCAAAGTACGCCTGTACAGAGAATTTTCTGAAATTGATGGAAGCCAGAAAGATCAGATTTTGAAAGTAACAGAAATCCTGAGCAAGGTAAATAAAGAGAATTCCATACCCATATATATTTTTTAAAACTACAGACAAAGAGAAAATCACAAAAGCAAACAGAGAAAAAACACAAATACCTTTGGCAGGTACACTAATGGCCGACTTTTCAATGTCAACAATGGAAACCAGATGAGAGGGGAGTATTTAATGTGCTGCGAAAAAATAACTCCTAACCTAAAACTGAATAATCAGGATGTCTTTTCAAATAAGGGAGAACTAGGACATTGTCAGATAAAAAAATGAAAGAATTAGAATTTACCACCAATAGGATTTTCAAGGATACCTATAAGGAGTCTGGAGAGAAGGTCTAAGGTGTAAAGAAAAAAAAAAAAAATTAAACATGTAAGCGAATCACAATTCTGACCAGATAGCACAGCAGCAAAAGTGCCAATTGCTAATTTCTGAGAGTTAAAACCAAAACCAAAGCAACTGCCACCAAGTCAATTCTGACTCACAGCAACCTGAGAGTCAAAGATAAATTATACTTAAAATGCCATCGAATAAAAGCAGGTTGAAAGCCAAACCTCCTGCCATTGAGCCGATTCCAACGCGCAGTAGCCCTACCTGGCCTGTCTGAGACTGCGGACTTTCAGGAAGTGGAAGAGAAACAGCCTCATTCCTCCCACTCCTCCACGCCCGAGCAGCTAAAGTGTTGTTTTTCTTTGTTTGCTTGTGTGGTCTTCTTTTTCTCTTGGTTCTGTAGTTTTATAAAGTGTATAGGTGTGCATTCTCTTTCAGGACTAAAAGGCTGACAGGTATTGACTTAGGAGAAAGTAGGGGAGAGGCATAGAACACAGTCGGGGAGGGGTGTGTGTGCTGTAAGTGTTGATGAGTAATTTGAACTGTTTACTCCTCAGTGGATGATCAGCAATATAAAGCCTGCTGCCTAGTTTACAATAAGTGATTCATCACAAATACAAATAAAGGAAGCACACAGAAATGTGTGCATGAAAATGAGAGGATGAAAAATTTATCCTAGACGGCAAAGCTTGCCAGCTCAAATTTCAGATGCGGCATGCGCAAGGGACAAAAGTGCTGACCTGAGATGAGGGAGATGGGGTGGCAGAGGGTCATCACTGAGACACACAGCGGGCAGCACCTCTGTGCCCCCAAGATGCAGTAAGCAACGGTGGGCAGCCTACTAGGGGAATGGGACAAGTCACCACCACCAAGTCAAATTCTAGGGAATGGTCCTCTCTGGCCAACAGCGCCACTATGAATCCAAATGTACTTGAGGCCCATGGGAGTTCTACCCCCACCCTGGGAAATCTTAAGTACATTTGTCTCAGAAAGTAACAGATCAAGTACATAAAAACAGTCAAGATACAGATTGTGGAGAGCAAAATTTATTCCTACATTTCCTCTTAAGGACACAACCAGGACCCTACATCTAAGCATAGGAAATGCATATTCCATGCAAGCACCGTGAAATAATTATTTTAAAAAGGGAAAACCATTCATTAGGTGACAGAAAACCTCAACAAACCCTAAATAAGTGGTATAATACAGACCATGTTGTCTGACAACAATTAAATTAGAACCAAAGAGATACCTTAAAAAACAAAATGTGGCTTTAAAAATAAATACTTGGAATGTGTTAAAAAGAAAAACGAGGGAATTAGAACATACTCAAGAATGAAAAAGAACAAAATTAGCACATGATGAAACTTCTGGGATGCTGCCAAGAGCATTTAGACAGGAAATGGTAGACGTTTAAAAAAATGATTGAGCTGAGGATTCAACATATAAAATTAGAAATGGAGCCTGAAAGACACTAAGAGAAACTAGGAGGAAGGGATGGGGCAGGAAAGAGCAGAGGCAGCGGTTAGAAACAGTTACCGCAGAGGGACAAGTTCCTTTAGATCCGGAATAAACGTGGTAAACTGATCAAGGGAGAAGAACGATAAGGCAAGGCAGACGTACTGCTGATGGGCTGGGGGTTGAACCATACGCCTTCCCGTTCACAGCTGAGCGCTTGACCACTGTGCCACCAGGGTCTTTGAAGGAAAACACCACATACCAAGAAATAATTCAAGAAGACATTGTCAATTCGACTAGTTGTATCTACAGCTTAGAACTTGCCAGTTTTACAAAATGGTCAGGTTTCTTGGCAGCATCTGCTAGCCTTTCCTGGGAGCTGGAGCTAGGAGAGGGCCACACACCGAGGAACGGAGGGGACTTGTGAAGACAGCCTGGGAAGTCGGAGTGCTGTCAGCTTGGAGGGAGCACAGGAGAAACTGGAAGGAGAAGCCTGAGGAGACCTCCCAGCCTGGCTGGCACCTCCCCTCAGCTCAGCCTGAGATATTCTGTGCCCAACTCTTCCAGGCAGCGTTCCACAGCAGCGGCCTGAACCAGCCGTGTGATCATAAAAGTGTGGTTTAGGAGCAAGCTGGCAGCAGCAGTGCATTCACCAGACACCCCAACCTTGGGTTCCTGAGGCATCATCTGCATCTCCCTCACTAGAGGATGGGGCTTGAGAATGGCTGATGGTGCTTTGCGTACCTGGGGCTCATCTTCTCCAAGCTGGCCCACGTTGGGGACGGGCACCTAGGTCTTCACACAGATACAGAACAGAAAATCGGACACGCCAAGGGAAAAGGGGGCTTCCAGGCCACACATCACACTCCTGCACTGG